AGCTGGAATTACATGCCAGGGCAGTCTTTAACTGCTGGAGCAGTTTACTGGGTGTAGTTAGAGCCAAAGTCCTTCAGAGGCATTCTCTCTCTGGAAGTCACTTCTTGTCCTGGTGGACACATTGAGCCTATCTATATGCTGATGTTTGGGGATTGTTTGATTCCGTTGGCTAAAATGCTCAGGTCTCAAGTGATTCTTAATACCCTCAAAAGTTCTTCACCAAATTTTGACAGCCTGCATTTCCTGTTGATTAGTCTCACATCACCGGTATCTAGGGAAATGGAAGACAGGTGCTAATTGATTTGTACCTGTTCCTGAACCAATCCTATAAACAGTGACAAGAAGACTGGAATTACACGGATTAGTTAGAATCCCTTCCTAGGAAGGCTGAGTCAGTTCCACCAAAATTTTACCATCCTCAGTGCAGGGGTAGAATAATGCCAGGGGGCAGACAGAGTCAAGGAAGAGCACACCACTCAAAATCCTGTGCCCTCCTCAGGCTGCACCAGTGAGTGAAACAGCCTTGATGGGCTGACCATGTGGGCCCGCCTCCCATTGGTCCTCCCCTCCGCTCCCATTTCTTTCCTGATCCTCTAAGTTTTCTTCAGGCTAGTGAAAGATGACAGGGGATTAAAAAAAAAAAAAAAAGAGTATCTTCCAGCTCCAAGATGGAGAATGCAAGCATGAGACCCAGACACTTTGTCTCAGAGAATGTGATCATGCATTTATGTCAGTGATGATCCACCTAACTGGTGTCATTGGTTGAAGGTTGAAGGTTGAACACTTGTCTCTGACACTGCACACAGTTCACTAAAGAAAAGAAAACAGACTGCAGGCTTTTACTATATAATCAAATCTCAGAAAATGATGACTAGTCAAATTTCCCTTCTATCTTTTCTTAGAAGATTTGGGCCCATTGATGTGGTAAGACCCGAGGAAATGTGTCCGCTTTGCTCGGTGTTTAGCTGAACACCATGCACTCTGCCCTAGTCCAGCACAGACGGCAAGTGTGGCTTTAAAATCAGCCCCAGCTCGTCTGGACAGCTCAAGTGAGGAACTGCTTTTGGAGCAAGTGCTCATCTGTCCCATGGGCAGTTTCTGAGGTTCAGTCGCAGTAAATCTGGACCGGGCCCTGGAGGTTGTACATAATCCCACTGGCAGACCCTTAGCATAACAGGCAGCCAGGAGCAGAGATGCCAGACAGCTTGTTCTAAATTATAAAGCTAGGAAGTAGCTGGAAGTCAGATCACTGTCTGACTGGTTCTAAAGATAACCTCCTTTCTCTGAGGGGTTTCAGTGGGGCTCCCTGCTGGAACTGGGGGGCTGTACAGATGGGATGTGGTACATTTTCACTTGGTTATTGACCTGTCCTCTTCAGCCACACAAGCATTTTAGTTGACTGAATTCTTACAATAGCTTTAGGTGATATTTTTATTGTAAAATCAATTTGTATCATAAACTTACTATTCAAAGGTATCTATTTGTATATAATTTTCATAATTTATGCAGAGTGAACTTAAGACTATAGGACATGAACACTTAATAAAACATGATTTGAATAGTTATACACGCTTCTTTTGTTTCACTTCCGCCTTTATTATTTCCCCTTCTCCCCCTTCTTTTCTTTATAAGTCCTGCATTTGCAGTAGGATTTTCTTTGTTTGAATCTTTGGGAAACACATCAGCATAGAGTCTCATGGGGATTTTAATATATTTCTACAGATATTCCCCAGCATCTTCCTTCTGCATCACCCCCATGGTATTGTCTTTATAAAAATCCTATTTATAGCAGTAGAAAAAGCAGTAATGTTTAGAATTTGACCATGTCTTTGTTTCTTGTAGCCCCCGTCCTGTAACTTAACCAATGGATTGTTGACTTTGAGTCTTGATCTGAGATGTTATGCATACATGGCAGGCATCAATATATTTTTATTTCTTCACCTGTATTTTCAGTGATGCAGAATGAAATCACACACACAAAGAGACAAAGAGAGAGATGCCACATTTTCTTAATAGTATTTTTTATGAATTTCTTATTCTTCCAGTCCTTAGTTTTTCTAGATATTCAAGACATGCCAGGTCTTCCTCTCTTGTCTTCCGTGCTCTCTCTTCTCTGTCTCACTGTTCCCACACCTGTTGTCCCTCTTCTCACAACTTGACTCCTTCCCTGGAGCCGTTTGTCCTTTTTCCGTGTTATCCTGTTTTCTTATTCCTGTACAGGGAATACCAGCATTCTGTTAGGGAAGCAAGCTTTTACACTGCTGTAGACAGCCCTTTCCATCATGAGAAAAGGTCTGTGGTCTTTCCTCTGAGAATGTCCTGGACAGCTACTCTAAGAATGGGATGAGCTGCAGAGTATTCTAATCTTATTACAAGAGGGCAGAACCAAAAGGACTCTGTCTACACAGGGGCACTCACAGTCTGTAGTTATTGCTGCTCTATTTACAATAACGAAGAACCAGAACCCGATTTGATGCCTGCCAGAAGACAAATGGGTGATGAAAGTGTGGTGATACACAGTGGAGGAAAAAGGGACTTGCAGGAAAGTGGATGGATTTGTAAAGTATTATCTTAAGTGAGGGTCCCCAAACTCAGACAGAAACCACAGTCTACCCATATGTAGAGCTTAGCGTATAATATATACATTTATGCATATAAATCAGTGTCAATGTGGAGAAAGCCTAAACTCTTAGAACAGACAGCAAGTGAGGAAGAAAGGGTTTCTGAGGAAGACAGAGAACAACGGGACCATGAACTGTGAAAACAGAAAGGAGAACTGGGGAGTGAGGGAGAGGGTGCTCTACTAAAGCACACCTTGTTAAAATAATAATAATGCTGATATTGATCCTTGAGAAGCCAGGTCCCTGAGAGTATAGAGGCTTTTTTGTTCCGCGTGGCTGTAGCTTCCTAAGAATAAACAACAGCAAAGCCACCCTGGGCCTGGGCTGGACTTCAGGTGCTTTGTTGTGAGTACCTGAGAGTGACTTAGGACAACAGAAAGGGAGCGCTTGACAGGAGTTTATGCTAGGTTCACAGGAGATAACTAAGAGAGAGCAGGCAATGTTACAAGGAGCTCACAGAGGTGACTACTCAGACACCGTTTATAGACAATGGAAGACTTTATTCCAGCCAGCTGGGACTACACTCAGGTATTCGGGACCCAAGTGCAGCCCTGAACATTTCCACTGAGGGGCTTTTAAAGGCAGAAACCACCTCCTGGTACCCCTCTTGGCAGCTGCAGGGGGAGGTGTTGTACGAGCAGTCAGTTTCACAGAAGCTATTATGATAAGCAGTTAGCTGGAGGGGAGGTTTACACAAGTTGTGGTATCTTGACCTTAGATTCCTAGACTAGAGTTGGGAAGTTTTCCTTGGAATTCTCCATCAAGGAGGTCAGATTCTTAGTTAACCCTGAAATAGTCTCAGTGAGAGTACCAGATGGAGGAACCTCTGCACTGTTTTGTCCTGCTACACAAGGAGGGGTACTGGAGAACTGGAAATGGTCCCAAAAAATGTGTTGCCAACAGGGATTCCCCAGTGAGGGACAATACGGCATTTCTGGGTTGAGACAGAAGTTATTCCAGCTAGGCCAGCCATGGAATGTCCTTGTGCCTTTCCATCTAGGTGTCTGGACTAGAGCTTCGGTCACACGCTCCCATACGGTCTTCAGGTGACTGTGTAAAAGGAGAAGAAAGATAACAAGAACTCAGTTTAGGAACCAGAGTCCCGGAACATGTGTGAATTCTGGCCTTCATCCAGGACAGATCTATGGCAAGGAAAAGAATTAAGTCTCTAAAGTTGATTGGAAAGTTCCTATCTCTGTCTCACACAATTATTTAAAGTGTGTTTGCTAGTTTTACTAAAGTTTTGAATTAAAAACAAAAGACTATATTTTATGCAAGAATCTAGAAAGTGTTTTTGTTTGTTTTATTTTTTATTTTTTTCGAGACAGGGTTTCTCTGTGGCTTTGGAGCCTCTCCTGGAACTAGCTCTGTAGACCAGGCTGGTCTCAAACTCACAGAGATCCACCTGCCTCTGCCTCCCGAGTGCTGAGATTAAAGGCGTGTGCCACCATCGCCCGGCTTGTTTTATTTTTCTCTTTCAGACAGAGACTCTCTATGTAGCTTAAGCTATCCTGGAACTTGCTATTTAGAGCAGGTTGGCCTAGAAATGCCTGTGCTTTGGAGTGTTGAGATTAAAGGCATCCACACTGCACCCAACATAAGGATCTAGAAAGTACTCAGTGAGAGCCTGACTTGGAGAATTGAGAAGAGAGTGGATGGCGGGAAAGGGCAGGTGAATGTGAGGCATGCTGGGACGGTTTGACAAGGGAAGTAGGAAGACAGTATGGGGAAGGCCATGGGTTCTAGCCAGAGTCGAATGAAGAGAACTTTCCAACAACATAGATAAGTTACTTTAAGATCTCTCTAGAAATCCAGAGACCCATGAGCCAAAATCTTTACACAGGGCCCAGAGTCCTTACTTAGCACCTACAGCCATTTAACAGAGTCCAGAACTCCTTCACAGAGCCCCAGCCCTATGGCCCCAGCTCTCTTTACTTGTCTACAAGGTGGCTTCCATTTCCTCCATTTCTCTGTGGAACATCAACATGCTGCCTTTGATTTTTATGCAGAGGGCCCTGGGAGGGAGGGAACGTTTGTTCAGTCTGTTGGAGCAGAATATTTTATAAACTCATGGGGATCTTGAGATTCCAATCAAGCAGGTGTTCCGCTTGAGTCCCTCTGTTTCGGAGGATGGATGTCAAAGGCACAGCGCAGTCTTGGTTTGCAGGTCACTGACTGGAGTATGAACGGGAAGCATCTTGGGAAAATGTTTTTTTTTTTTTTTCTGGCTACTGCTCTATAGTATAAAGTTCCTTGTTATAAATGAAAGAAAATATATACCGTTCACTGAAGGGCAGGCGAGGGGCAAGCATTTCCAGAGACATTTCACTGTCCAGTAAGGGCTTGGAGTAATGCTTGTGTCTCTCTGCCTGTGTTTAGTGTTCGTCAGGTTCAACTCCAGCCATGGCTTCCCAGTGGAGGTGGATTCTGACACCAGCATCTTCCAGCTCAAGGAAGTGGTTGCTAAGCGACAGGGGGTTCCGGCTGACCAGCTGCGTGTGATTTTTGCTGGGAAGGAGCTTCGGAATGACCTGACAGTGCAGGTGAGTCTCCCTGGGTGGGTGGTTCCTGGGATGCAGCAGGGCCCATTGCCCATGCAGCTTCCGCTGCCAATCTGACGTTCATGCCCGGGATCTAATAGAATAAATAGTGCCTGGGGATGCCTTGAACTTTACTCCACACTGCTTCATTAATTCTGACCTTCTTAATTATGCATTAAAGCAGCAAGCAGGAAGGATTGGAGGACCAAGGCTGAGCGAGGCGAGAGAGGGAAAGAGAAGCCAGGAGCTAGGCTTAGTGAATAAATGTTTACTGTCTGCGAGAGCAGCGAGGCACAATTTCTGGGTCTGTTCAATTTTTACCTTCCTTATTCCATTTGAATCGAAATGAAGAGGGGTTCAAATAAATTGTTCCCAATCAGGCTTCTCAGCCCGTAGTCCGGTGAGGGATTTATAACCCAACTGTGACCCCTGGAGGACAGTCACAGCTGCTGCTTGGAGAACGGCACTAGATGCTGGCCCAGGGCCCCCTATGCAGAGTACTCAGAGAAGTCCATGAGCAACATCAGAATTATACAGCAGAAGGCCATCTTTGTGTAGGCAAATGTAGGTGAAGTCACCCCTGGCCTCTGCCCCTGATGTAGAACTGAGCAGACTGTAGGGATCACATCCTATAGGTGTGGCTTCCTGGGTATCTGGCCCATGGAAACCCTTTCTTCTTGCGTCTTGCATTTGGATCAGTGCATTTTGTAGGCATGTAAGGGACTGGCCAGGAGGTGATGAGCAGGCCCATCCGCTAGAGCAGGAGAACAGTGGTGGTGCTTTGGGAAGGTCAGCAGATATGAGCCCCACTTAACTGCAGTAATTAGAAACAGGTCAAGCAAGTCCTCCCTGCCTCCTGCTCACAGCCAGGTAGGGATCAATGCTGTCAGTCCTCACACTACCCAGTCCAGCCAGTCCTCTTTGGGCCAAGATATTTGCCGCTTTGTGAACCGGTTTTGGAATGTGGGTACACAAAGGAACTATAGAAATGCAAATCTCTTCCGCCATTCTCCTGCTCCCACTGCTGGCAGTGGGGCTGCCATTGTGTGGAAACTGCTGTGCTTTGCTTCCAGGCAATTTGTTTTCATAAGGGAAGTGCCTGTGCTAAAAACTGTTTTGATTTTTTTTTTATTTTAGTCAACTAAAAAGCTTTTCGCTGTATCTGCCAACTTCTAAACCTAAGATTGTTTCCTTCACAAATAAATGGTTTTAAAACTGCTTCTTGAATCCAAGTGAAGTGTATTGTGAGGCCTTTTAGATTCTAAACCCCACTCCCATACCAGGTAGGGTGGCACGTGTAACAGTTGGCTGTTTCTTATACAGGAAGACTAATTGTTGCAGAGGATTGATGCTATGAGAATCTGTGTACTGATTCAAGAGTCTTATTTTGCTGAACGTTTTTGAATTTCCAATGTTCAGGGCTTCTGGCGGGTGGGGGGAGGGCGGATTGAAATTGATGACAAGACAGAGCTCAGTTTGCCTGCGTGGAGTCTGTGCTTTACCTGGTTAGGGCTCTGAAACTAAATGCACACAGATCAAACTGTCTGGGGCACCACATACGGTAAAATCCTAGCAACACAACGATATTTGAATAGAATAGACATGTACCGTGCATAATTATTGCTGCATGGCAAGCAAAGACGAGCACTGTGTCATTTCAAAGATGCAGATGGGAACCAGGAAACAGCTCCTGGGTGAACTGAGTCAAGATAAGGATTCTCTAGATGGTAGGATAAGCACGTGACGTGCTTGGGAGGCAAGACAGTCTTCGTTCTTCCAGAACTTGGAGACTATACTAAAGACTGAGGAAAAGATGGAGTTTTCAGGGGCATTTGGCAGACTCTTGATGGACTTGGCACTGTGAGTTTATTCACAGAAAGTGAAGGGATGCCATCAACAGGGTGAGTGTTCAGAGCGCTCAGTTTGTGAGGGGAGATACCTGTGGAGATGCTTAACTAACCATTGGAGCCTTGGGCTGGACCAAAGGAGCAGACTTTATACTCACAGATATTTGCCAGAGAGAAATTCTTCTGAAGCAACTGGAATAGATTCAATTGCCAAGGGGCAAGGATGAAACAGTATGAATATTTTAATTTCAGTAGCAAGGGACAAAAACATCTCAGGAAGTTCAGTCCACCCAAGTGACACTTTTGAGCCTAACTTAAAAACTCTAAATTCTGAGGGTTAAGAAGGAAATGAAGAAAATTTCTGCTTTAGGGGCTGAGGTTATGGCTCAGTGACAAAGGCTGTCACACAAACACTAAGACCTGGGTATAGAGATTCTGAGGGGAGAAGGGACATGGACAGGCCAACTGGCCTAGCATACAACAGCAGACAGGACCCTGCCTCACATGGCGAGGGTGAGGACGTACATATGTGGTTGGTCCTTGATCTCACATGTATGCAGATGCACACACTCACAGGGGAGTCATACACACAGACACAGTTGTTTTCCTGACTTTCCTGATATAAGCCATGGCAGTTGGGTAAAGGTAGAGAAGTAGTAGGTAGTGTTTTAGATGAGAAGCACAAGGTACAAAAGGGAAGGTTCTGGTAAGACAATGCGGTACCAAGTAATGTGGCAGGGGTGCTCAGCTCAGCCTGTCCTTGAAGGGAAACAGGCCCCGGAGAGGTCTGTGAGAAGAAGGGGCATCTGTCCGGATGGATGTGCTAGTCCCTGACTATGTGTAGCTGACTTCTGCCGAGATGTGATGAGTGGGAACCAATTTCACATTCATTAAGACCATTTCTCTTAACAAAGCATACTAAGCGAATGCGTATTCTAACAGTGTCTTTATCTTCATCTACCTCTAAAGTCACTAGAGTGCATCTGGTTTTTAATGTAACAAATTAAGGCAAATTGATGTTTATGTATACTATACTCATTTGGGGAATTTGGCTTCTTTTCTCAGATTGCTCATTTTAAAGACAGAAATAATAAGAGATCAAATCTTGCTGCAACTTTGTAAGAAAGCAATGGTTTTGTTTGTATAAAGACCTTACACATACAAATACTGTACAGATGTATGCCGTTATTAACAGTGCTCCTATCCTGATTGCCATCTTTAGCAGTCATTTGAGAATTTAGATCATCTCAATGCCAGACTCCCATGAGAAATCACAATCAATGCATGTAAAGTAGGTTAGAGAGGAGGCAATGAGAACAGCCCAAGTATCCAGCTGTGCTGTATTGCATGTATGTATGAACTATTCACATACTATTTCCCAGCATTAGCATTCTCTTTTATTATATTCATTTTTTGACTATAGAATTAATACATATTAATTATAATAATATTCTTGGTCTTTTTGAGACAAAGTCTCTCTATTATGTAGCTCTGACTGTCCCAGGACTCACTATGAAAACCAAGCCTCTATCTGGTTCTCTCTCAGAGATCCCTGTCTGCTTCAGCCTCCCAAGTGCTGACATTAGCCTGGCTTGGTAATAATAATTTTAAAGAAAGGGAACCATAAAAAGAGACATCTATGACTCTTGTGTTTCTCTTTTTTAATGGTAGTAATCACATGATCACTTACAATCCTCCAATGTTTTTATTTTCATTTTGTTTCTTTAATTCAAATTATTGTATATTTTGCTTGTATACCTGAGTATACTGAAACTAAAAAAAAACTTGATATTTATGGAATTTTTATTAAATTAGTTTAGTGATTTCAATTTTGAAATAACAGCAACCTATGTTCATACTAGAGCCTCATTATAAAGACCTGGCACACTGCATGCTGTGGGCATGTTTTCCTTTAAGTGTGCAGTTGGTGGGACGTTAGTATTCTTTGATATTCATGCACAATTCTAGAATATGTTTGTGGCTATGTGGTCGTCATTGTGCGATCACCCTTGTATGGTGTAAGCTGTAGAGGGAAGCGAGACGTTCCATTGAGGGGAGCAGGTGAATGTTGTGGATGAGACTCTAGAAGCTTCCACAGGTGAGCGCTCACCACGTGTTCTGCTGTGCCAGTAAGAAGGTAGGCAGCACGAGGGCTGTATGTGCTTGCTGGGCTTCTCTTCCTACTTCCATTTGCTTTCTTTTCATAATTTTTAGAGACCTAGTTTATAAAGAAATGTAGGATTTTGAGGAGGAAAAGAGGTTCTATTAAAATTATCCCAAAACAAAAGCTTATGTAGGGATTGTTCTTAGAAAATTGAGATTCTGGGCATTGCACCTCAGGTTTTAGAGCCTCAATTTGCTCGAGGAAGAAAGTATTATGAGAAACTTCACCCCAGGTACTTTGGGAAATAATGGCTTACTGCAGCAGTATTGTGATAATTTTAACAATAAAAATGTAAGCAGGTTTGTCTTCCTAACTGGTGAAATAAGACTAATATATAACTTATATTACAACATTAAAAAAAAACATAGAATTCCAGTTCCTAGAGAACACAGCTACCAATCACAATGAGTTGCACTGTTAGGTGACCATGATATTGTCTTGGTAAGGCTTTTAAGAGCTTTAGAGATGTAAAGGAAAATAGGAAAGAAAAACACAATAGAAACAAAACCAAGACATGTACACAAATCCCAGAGGATCCTCAAGCATTCTGTTCCTGAGAAACTGGATAAGTGCTTTTCCCTGTACACCCTACCCCACACTGCAGCCCAAGAAGTCTGTATATTACATGCAATGCAACTGCAACAGCCTTCTGAAAGGTAGAGGCAAGAACACCACTGAAAGACCTGCCAGACCCAGAGACCAGAGCAGGGGTGAGTCCCTCATGCAGACCCAGAGACCAGAGCAGCGGTGAGTCCCTGATGCAGACTCAGAGACCAGAGCAGGGGTGAGTTCCTGCTGCAGACTCAGAGACCAGAGCAGGGGTGAGTTCCTGCTGCAGACCCAGAGACCAGAGCAGGGGTGAGTTCCTGCTGCAGACCCAAAGACCAGAGCAGGGGTGAGTTCCTGCTGCAGACCAAGAGAGACAAGTATAGGGGTGAGTCCCCGCTGCAGACCTAGAGACAAGAGCAGAGGTGAGTTTCTGCCGCAGATCC